GCCGACGGCTCACGTGGCTAAGGCTTACTCTGGTTGTACTGTTCTTAAGCAGATTCGGAATAAGTCTTTTTTCATTCTCAATCTCGTTATTTACATCCTTATTTCATATTTATAGTTGTCTTCATTGTTCTTGTGCGGTTCCGCAGATAGCCGGGTCCTCTGGGAAATTAGGGTTTACTCTAAATTTCCTTATTTACGTAATCTTGACAGTAGGTGAATATTGGTTCCCACACCTATCACAGCTTCGAAGCGATGACCGACGACGCTTACGGTCAATAGCAACGGAGTACTCTTCTGAGTCAGGACTCAAGAAGATTGGAGATCCTCCACCTCCAGAAGTTCCTTCGACGTCAGAGACCTCGACAGGAATCAAAGTCGAATCCTCCAGATCCTTGTTTCCCCTAACACAACTCCGGATTCTAAACGATGACCTCCTAGCCAACTATCTACCCGACCTGGCTGAAGAAGGGGGGTCGTTAGAAGTCCCCGCAGCATCTTTAAGCCTAACCAAGCGGCTGGCAATCGCCGGAGCCTGATTAGTCTCGTCGGGCTCTCAATTTTTTTCCCAGATTATTCATGAATGGTTATATACAGAAACAATTGTTGGTTTTACTTCAAATGGCTTCACATAACTCCTTCATAAACTAAGTGTCAATTGTGAGAATGTTAATGGAAAAATGCCATGAAAACTGAATGGCGGATGTTCAGGAGATAAATTTTGGTTTCATCATAAAAATTGAATCATGAATCAATAAATTTAGAAAAGAGGAACAAACTGATTATCATATATAAACTGAGGAAGATATGCGAACCACAGGAGTCACGACTCCATTCACGAACGAACACAATGCTTTAGTACGATACCGACAAGAAAAGACAGAATCCACAAACACAATGCTTCACCACAATACCGACACAACGCTTCAGTATGCTAAGATGACATCACCCTAGGAAAAACAGAATCATGGGATTAAATACCAACTCAATCAGACCCGTTAAATCATCATTTTATTTTCCAAAAAAAATTACTGATGTCATATGAGGAAAGAAACAGGTTTGCTATTATATATAGATTTTTGCCTGAACGGAAGCAAGTAAAGCATATGCATAGGGCCTGTTGGACCCAATTTCGGCACCTATATGAACAGGTCCAAGCCCATCTGGAGTAATCGCTGAGAGCTGGACTCTACGAGGTCGAAGATGTGATTCTGGAGATCGCGGAGACGGTTAGAGGATGAAGGGACTATAAAAAGAGAGCTAGGATGACATTCAAACATACAGAAAAAAACCCTAGAGTTATTCACTAATCACATCGACCTCATTTCTTTAGATTTCTAGTTCGCTTTCTTGTGCTCTTTGTCGTTATTTCTGATCTTGTTCATCATCTTGTAAACGAATTCTACATTCAATAAAATTCCATTTTTGTCAACCGAAATCCGATTATATCGTTGTGTTTAAGAGCATCGTTGCCCACATCTTTTGTCTTCTCCTGATTGAACTCTCGATCTCTACAAAATATTAAGTGTGAATTTTAGGATCTGCAGGACCTTAGATTAAGTTAAGCATTTATAGGGCTCATAATTTGACAAGTCTTCCCTAGGCAAGGTTGATACAAGAGCATTTGGTTGCATTAAAGGTGAGAAGTTCCATGTCTCTTCGGTTTAAGGTAGGAATAGTTTTTTTTTTTTAATTTCTATTAATTTATTGTAAAATGATCATATAATGATTTTGTGTTTGGGGCCATGTAATGTGCGCGGCCCTGTTACCGATTACATAAATGAAAGAGAAAATATAAATTATGCTAAACAAGCTCCGATCACGTTGCGATCGTAGCCCCAGAGGTCTCTCATGTCGACGTCTCCAGCTTTACACAAATTCAGCATGGAGAGTCCACCAATGCAGATGGGTTCCTTTTAATGAAGATGCTGAACCGCAAAGCCACTAACAGCATTAGAGTCGTTGCCTTGCCCTGCCTTGTCACCTAACATTTAGTCAACAAGAGTGTTGACTTGCACTCCATACCTTTTTTCTTCTCATGCATGACCCCCTATGGAACGTATCAGCCACACATAAAAAAGACAAGAACCAAGTATTAATGAAGCAGAAGTAGAAAAATGGATAACAAAACAATAAAAATAGAGTAGACATACTATAATTTACTTCATTGCAAATATTCAGAGAGGAAAAAAGTTGGAATCAATAAATAATGGGTCTCATAGATAATCTGAGAAAATAGAAAGGAAAGCTGACTAGTGGACTGTTCGTCAAGAAACAATTCACTCCATTTCCTCCCACGCATTCCTAACCATACAAAGAGAGATCGTATTGCAGAGATATTCAAATGGCTAAAAGTTTTGAACCATTGTCTTTTTGTTTTTTTTTGTATATCATGTGTTTGTTGGTTTTGGAAACTATTATGTTAATTTATCCTAACCCTTCATCGGACCCCTATGATTTCACAAACTCTTCGAACCGTATTTCGAAATTGGTCGGTCTTGTTCTAGTAATTATCATGGTATTTCCCACGAAATGTTCCATCGTTTATTGAAAAGAAGAAATCGGTGCATAATCGCTTTCGGTGTAGAGCTTTAAGTTTCTGGAAAAATTGCTCAAAAATTTGAGAGAAAGATGACAATAGACTATTTGGTTATTATAATAATGAACTATTTTCTGTCTTATCTACTCTACGTCGTAAAACTATTTTGTGCAAATCTACGTAGGAATGCTCTCAATTTTTTTTCTCAGATTACTCATGAATGGTTATATACAGAAACAATTTTTGGTTTTACTTCAAATGGCTTCACATAACTCCTTCATTGACTAAGTGTCAACTGTGAGAATGTTAGTGAAAAATGCCATGATAACTGAATGGCGGATGATCAGGAGATAAATTTGGTTTCATCATAAAAGTTGAATCAGGAATCAATAAAATTGGAGAAGAGGAACAAACTGATTATCAAATATAAACTGACGAAGATATGCGAACCACAGGAGTCAAACTCCATTCAAGAACAGACACAATGCTTCAGTACGATACCGACAAGAAAATACAGAATCCACGAACACAGTGCTTCACTAAGATACGGACACAGTGCTTCAGTATGCTAAGATGACATCACCCTAGGAAAAACATAATCCTGGGCTTAAATACCAACTCAATCTGAACCGTTAAATCATCATTTTATTTTTCAATAAAAAATTGCTGATGTCATATCAGGACAAAAACATATTTGCTATTATATATAGATTTGTTCTTTTGAAATCATTCATGTTAAATAAAAATTGAAATCAAATTCAATATTTATTAATAAAACATATATTTATTTATAATTTTAAATGGTTAATATATAATTATATATCAAAGTTTTTTATTTTGATTCTCCATTATTAAGTGATATGGTTATTTTGGGGCTACTCAATAGAAAACCCGTTTAATGTAGAAAAAAGTTTCTTGGAGTTAACCTACTTTTTCTTTTATTATAATTATTAAACTAGATAATGACCCATTCTGTGAACGGGATTATTTTTATTTATATAGATGTTATATGTTTTTAAATTAACATTTTTTTATTTAAATTCTTTTTATAAACTTTGTGTAAACTTTTTTTTTCAGAAATTATATTATTTACATGAATCTTGAACCATAGTTGATAATGTAACATACTCATTATTTGTGTAATTTGACATTATGTTTATAAACTTAAATTAATATTATTATAATATAAAAAAATTATAATATGCACACACTTAATATATTTTAAATACATAAATTTATATGCCATAATTGTTTCTTATTTTTGTTAAGATTGTTAGAAATTATTTCTTGATTTTTTTACTATCATTTTCAGGCTACAAAAAATTCCTTTGGTTGATAGTAAATAAATATCAGTATTAAGTTAGTTTTTAAAACTTCATGAAGACCATTATAATTCTTTTCTGTTTTTTTGTTTTTTTTTTGTTAGCATAATATTAGCAAATGAATTGGTTGTTTCAAATAATATTATTAGTGTTTTTTAAACTCTAGGAAGATAGATAGAAATCGTTTTCTGTTTTTTTGTTAACATACAATATGTTAGGAAATGATTTAGTTGTTTTAGATAATACTGTTAGAGATTTTAGATTCTAGGAAAATAAAAGAAATTGTTTCTGTTTTTTTTTTGTTAGCACATATTAACGATATATTGTATATAAGTAATAATTCAAGATCTTCTAATATGCAGCAACGGTAAGTGTTATGAATTTTTTTTTAAAGAAAAGATAAATGTTATGAATTCATCCACATATTTATGGTTGTTGGTCAGATTCAAGTAGTTACTTCCACAGATTATTGCTAATGAAAACCTTTACAACTTCCTAATACATGTGAATACATACTTTGTAAAAGTTTGTATCAATTATAATGTATTGTAACGATGTCTGACATTGTCACGTTTTTTATAGCTTTGTATAAAAATATGCTATGAATACGAAGAGCACCAGCATGGTCCGTATCAGTCAAAGATTCAAATAGCTATATTGATGGTCACATAAGTTATATATACTCTACAAAGTGTATCTTTTTTTTTTGTAAAAGTACAAAGTGTATCGTATAATTTAATTTACCAAATTTAATTTAATCATGCTAGAATACATGAGGCCAAAGTTCTACGTTGAGTATAATTAAACAAAAGTGAAAGATTCTATTTTTTAGGACGAAAATATATTGTACTGTTAACCAAATAATAATAAATGTTATAATTATTTCTAATAAATTATAAATAGGTCCAAATTTAAATAGATAAAAAGTAGGATTATATTTTAATAGAGTAGACGTTTTGACTGGCCACCACCGGTAAAGCATTGCGGTCTCCTTTCGGCTTAGAAATTGAAATTATTATTAATGTATAGAAAAGGTGATGTCATTGGTGACTAATCATTTTGTCAGTAGTACCCATTATGATAAGATTTATTAAAGAATGTAGGGCCGAGCACTATATTAGTAGAAGCACCTTGTTGTTCACCTGATCTGTTCTCATCTTTATTCGTCAGTCGACAAATTGTGAAGCTCTAATCAAAGGAAATGGAGACAGTAACGGTGATGAAGCCATTGATCAGAGTCGCTGCTCTCTCTGGATCCCTCCGAAAAGGCTCTTACCACAATGGACTTCTCCGTGCCGGTATATATAATTCCCTTTTCAGAACTTTTGGCTTATTCTACCCAAATTAAAAGACGAAAAATAAATATAAGAGTAAATCTCGTTATTTTGAATGGTTGTATTCATATCGGTTAAAATCAACATGTTAGATTTGAAGTCATAAATTTACAACAACAAAAAATGGTCAAAGTTTAGTTTATTAACTTTTGGTGTTTTTCAGCCATCGACTTGACGAAGAAATCGGTGCCAGGAATGCAGATCGAGTATATCGACATATCTCCGTTGCCGTTCATCAATACCGATCTGGAAAGAGACGGTACATATCCTCCTGTTGTGGAAGCCTTCCGACAGAAGATCCTTGAAGCCGATAGCATTCTGTTCGCATCCCCTGAGTATAATTACTCTGTCTCAGGTATTTCAAAACGATATTTTTGTATATATATAATCGTCATTATATGGGATTTCACTGCTAAGCTGGATAACAACGTATGTTTTATTGAGCATAAGTTCGCATCCATTGAATCCTGGACAAATTTTGATGTTTAAGATTGAGTCGAAATGATATCCTCTTTGCCTTGATTGTCGAATGTGGTAAGACATGTTAAATGCCAAAGTAATTAGCTACATGAAATGTTAGGGTTTTGGATGGCTAGAGAGGATTTTACTAAGCCGTGTACTGCAAGAATGAAGCATTGTCTATATTTGTCTTAGTCATATGCAATTATGCATATATCAACAACATGCTGATTGAAACCATTGATTTGGCTTTAACAGTGTAATTAATGGAACCGAACTAGTTCGATCGCGTTGAAAACACTATTCACGGTTTTGTTAATTTACATCGATATAATGCATGTTTAGTTTCAGTTAGCTTTGTAGACTTTCGCATAGGGCATTCCGTCTATTTTTGCCATCCAATGTAGCATTTAAATGCATCACTGAGATATTGTTTGTTTGGAAAATATATTTTGATACAAATTAAGTTTTTCGTCTATGAGTATAAAGTATACGCTGACTTAAAAGTTTTTCATTGTTTACTTATTCATTACTATACCAGCTCCTCTTAAGAACGCGATTGACTGGGCTTCACGACCACCAAATGTTTGGGCTGACAAACCCGCTGCCATCATAAGCACCGGTGGAATATTTGGTGGAGGTGTGTCCCAATATCATCTTCGGCAAATCGGAGTATTCCTTGATCTCCATTTCATTAACAAACCAGAGTTTACACTTAATGCATTTCAACTGCCTCAGAAATTTGATGTGGAAGGAAACTTGGTCGACGAAGTGGCTAAGGAAAGGTTAAAACAAGTCCTTATCTCATTGCAAGAATTTACTATGCGTCTTCAGGATCGTAAGTGAGGGAATTCTTAATCGTTTGTAAGGTTGATAGTGTGATGGAAATTATGCAAATTATTGTAATAAGAAAAAGTGTGTCACTTATCTTATATTAGTTTCTGTTTTCTTTGTTTTTTCAAATAGTTTCTGTTTTTCTTATAAACATTATATTATGTACTTACAAGTTCCAAACTGCCTCAGAAATTTGATGTGGAAGGAAACTTGGTCGACGAAGTGGCTAAGGAAAGGTTAAAACAAGTCCTTTATCTCATTGCAAGAATTTACTATGCGTCTTCAGGATCGTAAGTGAGGGAATTCTTAATCATTTGTAAGGTTGATAGTGTGATGGAAATGATGCAAATTATTGTAATAAGAAAAAGTGTGTCACTTATCTTATACTTCTGTTTCTTTTTTTTTTCAAATAGTTTCTTTTTTTCTTATAAACATTATATTATGTACTTACAAGTTCCAAACAACTTTTTCGGGTGGTTAATGCTTAGTTTTCTTACGAATCTAACACTGAAAAATATGAAACGGTTTACGAAAACCAAAATGGCTTTTGTTAAACTCAAGGAACAATTTTCAGTAATCAAGAACAAGATTTGAGTTGTGTCAAACGCAGAATTACCATTATGATTCAATCAAATTAAATTAGTTTTGAATGAAAACTGTTTTAAAATCATAATGCCGATAAATTAACATTAGTTATGTAAAACTTCTCAAAGCATAATATTTATTATATATACAAAATTGGGTAATTCTCTCAAATATTTTATTTTAGGTTTTTTCTCACCAAAAGAATCCAAAGAAGAAACTTACCAAAAGATGTTTCTTTAAAAAGTCAAAAGACTTTTTTACTCTTTGTTTTATAGAGATATAAATATAAATAAAATAAAATAATTAATTTTTTATAGTTTCAAATTATATGTTTTCAAATTCGACTTTTTAAAGATTCAAAATTTGTTTTTCTTTTAAAATTTGTTTTTTTTCAAGTTTTATTTTTGAAATTCGAAAATGCTTTTTTAAACTATTTAAAAAATAATAATTTGAAAATTTTCTATTTATTTATTTTTAAACATTGTAAACCCCAGACCAAAATTCTATTCCTTAACTATAATCCTAATCTAGATTAATTAACTCTATGAATATAATATATACCATTATTTGAGAATTGAATTTTCTGATTTTTCATATTCTCCATAATTTTAGGTAATTTTTGTTTATTTGCTAGGTCCTTATGATTTTGAATAATGATTAATTATTACCCTTAACAATTTTTCTTTAATTATTATTTATTTAATATCTAATTTTTTATTATTAGCTAACATTAATCTTTATTTTTTAAAAAAATATCATTCCTAAGAAAAAGGGACGTAGATTTGGGATCGGTTTCATTAATGATGTCCCAAGAGCGACATCAGCTTATGCTCATCGACAGGAAGATGAGACGTTTGCCGAAGATTGGTTTTTATTTCATATGCCGCGTTTCATGTTCGAAACGTTTGCGGGCTTGAAGATGTTGTGCGGTGTTGCAAGGGTTTTGTCTTAACCCTGCTTTTGCAGAAACACTTTGCTTTGTTTGCGGAAATTCGCAGCCAAAACTTACGTTCCTGCTTGGATGTTAAGTAGTTTGATTCATAGTAGAGATATTATGACTGAGAGGTCGCGTAAGTTGTTTCCCCGAAATGAAGCGTTTTTCGTTACGGTGCTTTATGAAGTGTTGACTCTCAGGAGCTCTGTTACGAGCGTTTTCTTACATGTCGGATTTTGTAGGCAACTTGCTTCGCAAATAGAGCGAATCGTGAGAATACAGAACTTAGCCGATTTTCGACAAGTTTGCATTATCCGTTGAATGTATTGGCTCAGCGTGAAGGTTGTATTCAGCCGCACAGCCAAGGTCGTATTTGGTAGAGGATTAGACCACGACACTTTCGTGCTATCGATAAGGTCGAGTCGGTTTGTAAACTTTGCATTGAAGTGAAGCGTGATCGGACAATAGCCACGTAGCGTTTGTCGAGCTTGATATGCCAAGTATGCCCGTGGTTACAGAAAACGTTTTTCCGTTGTAGGTTTGATTTATACGACGAATGTTTCGTATAAAATTTCCTTTGTATGGAAGTTGTTTCTTTTTTTTTTTTTACTCGAGGGAGACAGAGCCTAAGAAGCTCGATGCAGAGCTCGTGCGGAGTCGCTTGCGGGGCGGTTTCATTCCGGGATGTAATCGGGAGGAATGAGAGCGGGATGCTCGTGAACCGAAGGGCTAAAGAGTGAGATTTCAGATCGTGGCGCAAGGAAACAAAGTTTAGATTGGTCGCTCAGTGCCGGATCGTATAGCTTGGTTTTCGCTATAAGGAAAGTACTTTTCGCAAAACCTGTTACATTTATTTTCGAAAGTTACTTCGTTATGACATGATCCTGACTATACGAAAGATTTTTCGCGTAAGTAACGGGCGATGAATTTAGTAAATCGGCACGACGCATTGGGTTAACAATTTTTTCGCAGATTTTTTGAGAAATCTTTCCGCTTAGTTTTTGATTCTTCGGCGATAGTTTTTCGGAGTCACTCGTGGAGTTTTACAAAAAGTTATTTCACCGAGATTTAGTCGCAAATTGTTTTAGCAGATTTCTCGGGCGGAATTAATCACATGACCAGAAATATGATCAGTCAGCGAGAAGGGAGGACGTGTTCCCTATTGCTGCTTTGCGTTCTCGATTTTTCTTTTTGCCGAAAATGTTCTTGATATTATTCCGTGACTCACTTGGTTCGACGGAGAATGAGATCAATGCTTTGACGCCTAAAGATTTCTCGTATAATTTTTTTTGATTCTTATACGAAACTTGTTTTATCAAGTTCGAGAAGATCTTTATGACTTCGGCAAATAATCGAGTTTCACTCTTAAGTTTCACAGAGATTTTGTAACCTCATGATTGCGACGTGAGATGCTGTATAGTCCTCGATATTATTTCCCAGACGGTTTGGATCAGTCTTTAGCGTTTAGACGGTTCTTAGATTGTCGTTTGCTTTTGGGATGATTTTGATGAGGCGTCGCATTGTCCGAATATTTTTCTGCTTGTTTTGGCGAGAGTTTGCTTTATAGAAAGTGTTTTCTCGATGCGAGGGAAAATATTCGACGAAAATAAAAAAAAGATGAGTTTCCTTTGAAGGATTCGGATGATCGATGATCCGGGTTGGTTAAAGATCGTGGTGGATCGGGGATGACTTGGGGTATGTCTGATTTACGAAAATTTCTAGTAGCGAGTCGGTTTTAAGACGATGTCAGCGTCTCTAGCTCCTTCTTTCTTTTAGGAAATGAGTACGCTCGAGTACGTGACGATCGTTTCTCAGTTGTACGAGAGATTGGATCGGTTTGCGAGTTATGCATGAATGGTTAGAGAACAATAGATCGAGATAGACAAAAATTGCTTACGACTTAGCATGCTAGACTACCCCCTAAATTCAAAGTTCTCTAGGTTTTCCGGCAGTTTACAAGACGTTTTCATTTCTTACCTACGAGAAATTAGAAGTCTAATAAAATTTTCAAATCGGTCATACCTTAACTTTATTGACAATTTGGGATTGTCTATTCTTCGTTCTTCGTCTTTTGACTTACCGGTCTTCGACGAATTACCAGCAAGAGTATCGGAGCGGGGAGAAGACTTAACCATCAGAGTTCATGTTCTTGTTTCTTCGTACTGCTGGTTTTATTTAACCGACTAGGTGCGCTTTGTATATCGAAAAATCAGTCACGTGTTTATGATTTGATGTTTTCGACTTAGCATGGCAGAGTTTCGTAAAACCGGATTGCGTTTAGAGAGTTCAGATCTCTCGTGTAGTTTAGGAAACTTTGGTGTTAAGTCAACCGTTGCCGTTTTAGAAGATTGATTCGAACTTATACGAAGAAATAAGTCTTTGCGGTTTTATCGTAAAATCCCGATGGAAATTCCGATTGAGACGAAACGAGAATCAGCGGGATCAAGACTCGAGAGAGAAACTCGAGGATTGGTTCAGCTTGACGTAGGGCAAGTCGGGTGAACCCTTTCAGCTCGCCGTGTGGCGATCTGGATGGTAAGAACCCTTGTGGCAAAGTCAGTGCCTCTTGGGCGAGCTAGGCGCTTGGTTCAGCTCTACGTTCGGCGAGCTAAGACGCTTGGTTTAGCTCTACGTTCGGCGAGCTAAGCCAGCTTGGTTTAGCTCTACGTTCGGCAAGCTAAGACGCTTGGTTTAGCTCTACGTTTTGCGAGCTAAGACGCTTGGTTTAGCTCTACGTTCGGCGAGCTAAGACGCTTGGTTTAGCTCTACGTTCGGCGAGCTAAGACGCTTGGTTTAGCTCTACGTTTGGCGAGCTAAGACGCTTGGTTTAGCTCTACGTTAGGCAAGCTAAGCCAGCTTGGTTTAGCTCTACGTTCGGCGAGCTAAGACGCTTAGTTTAGCTCTACGTTCGGCGAGCTAAGCCAGCTTGGTTTAGCTCTACGTTCGGCGAGCTAAGACGCTTGGTTTAGCTCTACGTTCGGCGAGCTAAGACGCTTGGTTTAGCTCTACGTTCGGCGAGCTAAGCCAGCTTGGTTTAGCTCTACGTTCGGCGAGCTAAGACGCTTGGTTTAGCTCTATGTTTGGCGAGCTAAGCCAGCTTGGTTTAGCTCTACGTTCGGCGAGCTAAGACGCTTGGTTTAGCTCTACATTCGGTTTGGTCCTTCCATTTCGCCAAGATTCGAGTTTATTGGGAATCTTCCATTTATCTTGATCTTTCCTTTTTTCCCGCGGAAATATTCTATCTATCTTCAAACTTGTAATTTTCCTTCAAACTTGACATATATCCTCCTTTTGCGGGTAAATCGTCAAAACGTTATCGTATCTTCGGGTTAGATTTCGTAAAGATCGCGAGATGGGCTTTTATCACGTTTTAGGACCTTCCGAGCCGTTTTGCTATAAATCCATTTTGCGACTTCGTACGAGATCGTTTCCTGATCCGATGCAGTTTTTAGTAAATTCCCCGAGTTAATAGTAAAGTTTAGCTATGTTCGTTTTCTTCGGTTAATTGCTGCCTTTTTTACGATTCACTCGACGTTTTTATTAAAAACGCGTTTTTTACGACTTCTACGATAATTCTCGAATAAATCGTATAGTTTAGGCAATGTTCGGTGTTTCGTTTAACCGTTGCCGTTTTATACGATTTCCTAGAGTTCTTTTCGAGAAAACAAAGTTTTACGGTTTTTATCGTAAAACTTGAACGATATGATGGATCGAGACGAAACGGGAGACATTTCGACCATGGTTCGGAGCATGATCGTGTCGAAGGATGTAAGACTTTAATCGGGGATGTGGGAAATCGAGGCTCGGGATGGTCGGTTCGACGAACGGCAAGCCCGGGAAGCTTCTAGCTTGCCGAACGGCGAGCTAGTCGGGACGGGACTAGCTCGCCGTTCGGCGAGCTAGTCGGGATGGAACTAGCTCCCCGTTCGGCGAGCTAGTTGGGATGTGACTAGCTCCCCGTTCGGCGAGCTAGTCG